TTCCCAAGTAGTTAGTATTAGTTCCCAAATCTCTGAATAAAATTGCCACAAATTATCGTGAATCCATTGGAAATTCGAATTTCGAATCTAATATCTAATAAATACTCGTGAAACGGCAAAAAAATTGAAAAATTTGAAAAATTCTGGTGGAAATAATTTAGCAGTAATAAGAAGCAATAATAAATGTGACGAAGAGATGTGACGCTTCATTATCAAAGATTTTCATAATTACCGTTCAATCATTTTATTAATTCCGTGTTTACAATCGAACCGTAAAAATGCGTGAAAAATTGGAAAACGTTGCGAATAATATATCTCGTTGGAAAATTTTCTTCCCTTATTATTATCGCTTCCCATTTGCCTCTCTGATCACGTGTCATCGCCGGATTCCTTTTTTGTAATTAGTTAATTAATACCGGTACACGTAATTTTACGATAATTTTTGATTAATTAATTAATCGATTGATTAATTACGAGCACTGAATACGGTAATACAGAGAGATCGTGTGTAATTCGAATAAAATCGGTTTATTCGGTCAAAGTTCGTAGCTTATATTATAAATCTTTCTAAAAGAAGAACTAAAAGAATAAGCGTTTATTCCTAAAAATAGTAAACTATCACATGTATATTTTTCCTTAAATCGTTTCTAATCGTTCGCGTTAGGGTAAATTCGAAAAATAATTTAGAGAAAAAAATTTTTTCTTTCGTAAATATTCCTTCTCTGATCGAAAACATTGTATGGAATATTAATTATTATTCTAAACATATAATATTCATTCTAATATTCATACATGCTCAACGAAATCATAAAAAGAACAAAAAAAAAGAAAAAAATGTGAAAAGAACAACGAAAATAACGAAACAAAGGATCTCGCTCGATGGCAACAGAATTCTCGCAGCCTCGTCCATTATTCCATTCCCATACGTGTATGCAAATATGTTCCTTCATGTTGAATCTTCGTTTCCAAATAACTAACTCTCTAACAAAAGACAAGGGATGGTGGCTTGTCTCTCGTTGATCCACATCGCGACCTCGCATCGTTAAATCTTCAAATACGTAGCTATATACGTATGGTACGTACGTGCACGGTTGTGACGGTTATTATCAATGCAAATTCTTCAGAGTTTCACTTTCTTCGACTTCTACCTTCCAGGCAAAAATTTCCCTCCATCAAATGCGTATTCACATAACGACGTATAAGAGCAACGACGTAAACACGACTTCGTCGATTCGTCACGCATCATTTTTCATCGTAGATAAAAACATACTCGTTGAAATGTTTGTCGACTATGACTTGATTATCAAGGAGAGCCAGTTTGGGATAATTTATCGCGTCGATGAATATTAATTAACAATGTAATTAACACGACGTATGTGCGAAGAACGAAATGAAAAAAGGATTCTTCCTCGTCGTACGAAGAAATATAACTGATATTGTGGGAAAAAATGAATTTGGTAAATCAAAAATCGTTTCAAAAATGAAGAAAAAGTTTATATAATAACGATATCTCGACGAAATTATTCCACGAAAAGGAATCAGAAATTTATACGAACCTGTTGAGATTCGTCACAAAAGCATCCGATTAACTAATCACGATAAAAGGGAAAAACTTCTGCTCAATCTAACCGCGTGCACAAACGACCATTTAAAGTCTTTTTCACAAAAACACCGTAAGCTCGAGAAGACATCGAAAAGAGGCGCGTATAATACACGCAAACTCACGTATATACACAAGTTTTCTAACAAATTCTATCCATCTATCTTGCACCTTATCACCCCCCTCTGCCCAACAACCGATCAAAAACTTTTCTCCCTCGACAGTTGCAATATATTAAGCCCGCGTGATGCTTGACCTCGAATCATTATGGATTATCTGTCGCCATTTGCCAAATACTTGGGGACGAGGGGGAAGGGGAGAGGGGCCCCAGCCCGTGTCAAACTCGTGTCCAGGCCGGCGGATGGCGCGTCCATAGGTGGCGGGCTTTGGAACTTCCGTCAACGGGCAACGGGAACGTATCGATCATGGCGGTTGTCGATGATCGATCGCGCGAAAACGCCAAGTATCCGAGAGGAGGGAGAGGAGGAGGAGGAGGAGGGCCGCGATGCATTTTGTCGCGCCCGATATATACCACCGCCAATATCTCGCCACTCGATCTGCCCCGCGTGAACTTGGTTGATCGATCGCCAACAATCAATTTGGCAACCGTAGATTCCAATCTGTTACCTCCGTGGAGGCCGTGGACGAGGCGGAGGGGTGAGGCGTGGGAGGCGTGGAAAAGAAGTGGCGAGCGCGGAACAACTAGTAGTAGTAGTAGTAGTAGTAGTAGTAGTTCTCGTTTTAATCGTTTCGACGCTAGATGACGTATCGGTTAACATTTGAGCAGTGTCGAGGGGAGCGTGGAATAATCTTATATCGTATACGTGTTGCTCGTTGTTTCGATTCGATCAATTTTTTCGTTGAAAGGTCTTGCTCGATTACGATACCGTGAGGAAAAATTCGTATTTTTGTTCCTTTTCGCAAGTGTTGGGGCAGCAGCTTTTTTTATTCTTTAATTACATTCAAGAATTTGTTGCGTTGTCGTTGATTAAAATCTGATATAAGGAGATAAAAAATTTTTTTAAAGATATAATATTATCTTTACGAATGAATGTTAAGTTTTTGAAGTATCAAAAAACTCGTCGTAGGAAATGTAAGATATTCAATACGGCGAATCTTTAATAATATTTTAATATCCGCTGCGATAATCCCACACGGTGAAACGAATAAACGTTGAAATTAAAAATAATTTTAACTTCATTCTGGAAGAATCATTCATACGTACATATTCTTCGTCACAATCGATAATTTAAAAGACAAAAAAAAAAAAAAAAATAATATATATATATATATATAAAAGAAATCTTCTATCAAGAGAATGGACAGCGGAAAGGGGAATGTAATTCAAGATCTATCTAAGAAATTTCGCAGATTTTTTGTAAAAATCACGATAAAAAAAAGTGCAATTCACAGAAAGAAGAGAGATGCATCGTCGTATTAACTCCACCGCTTCGCTGTCCATTTACAAAAGGCGGTTGGCAATAATTGGCAAAATGGTTCCTCCTGGAGCGTAACGCGGATGGAGAGAAACACGATGGGAGAAAGATGAAAACTTGGGTAATTGGCGAAACAAAGTGTTGATAAAAGTAATTTTAAGAAAGTAGACGGCCCAACAGGATGAAGCCTGAGGATAAGATAATATATTGGAGGCGAATTGCGATGGACAGAATCACCCCTTCGCAATTTACTTCGGGGCATCCGACCAGTCTCGCTCGCTCTCTTTCTCTTTATTTTTCTCTTGTTCACCGATAGAGGACCTTCTGACAACCAATTATCTATCCAAGACGAAACGAAGGGGAGTAAAAGAGATGCAGAACCGGCGAAATACGACGTATATTTTGATTAATCAACGTCGAATAGTGTTAACGCACTAACAGATTATCCTGCAACCAATAGTTTATCAACCCCCTTCCCCTCCCCTACCTTTGAGAGGTCGTAGCTAATAAAAATCTAATTTTAGCATTTCTCGTCTCGATATAATATTACTATCCTCGATTCGAAGAAGGAAACGGCAAAAATGAAGAGAGAGAGAGAGAGAGAGGGGGATAAATGGAAAATCGTTTCTTCCTTCTTCGAATTTTCTATATTAAATCGTTAACCCAAGACACGATTGATCAATCAACAAAAATTTCTTCATCTTCCATCGACTGTCAAAAAAATTTACACTTTTTTTATTATCGTATTATTGAAACCTTCCATTCATCGTTTCATTCATCAAAAATATGAATTTAAAAAAAAAAAAAAAAATTAAATCCAATCGATCGCACAATCGCAATACTCGATTAACGCAAAACACGAAATCTCACGTTTTGGATAACGTTTTAGAAATCCCTCGTTTGCGAAACCCCGGCTACGCGCAAGATGCAAGATCTAGACGATTTCCGCAATTAGAAATGGCATGTCGAGTTGAGCAATAGAGAGAGCGGCAGTGCCCCATGATAATAATAATTAATACAGAACGTAGTAACTGCAATTGCAAACTAAGACGCTCGTTCTAATTCCTTTGAGTTTCTACGACGTAGAAGTAAGTAGCTAGTTCCACTCAAACACTAGGTAGGATGAGGGAGGGGGGGGGGGAGGAGGGGATTGTTATTAAGCCTGTCCACATGCACGTCAGATCCTTCTATCGTCCACCATCTTCTATTAACCCGGCCTTTCGAGGGCGGATTGTTGCGATATCTGTTAAACCTCGCGATGAATTGTTGTTCCTTCCACGGACATCAATTACTCTGTGTAAATCGAATTAGAATTTGCACGTTGGATTTCCATCGTGATCGAAAGGTTACTACTACGTCGAATCAATCTAAATCTTTCTCGATCTTCTTCTTATATATGGAGCAATCATTCTGTGAGCGACGTTCGATCCTTCCTCCGTTAACGGTTTGAAAATTTGAAACTTGGTTGAGAAGTGAGAAAAGCGAGATATCTTTTCGTCTTAGATGTTGCGGATTGAATACTTGACAGATGTGTGTGTGCACATGAAAAATAAAGATTTCGTCCGAATTAAGAACAGAATGATTATTGATTAATCTAAGATTCGTGCGTCGAAAAAGTGAATGAACGAAGCTTCTTTTTAAAACGTTTAAATAACCTCGAATGTGAAGCAAAGAAGATTTGAAAAAATTTTAGGAAAAATCAAATGTTTATTTAAGAGTCGTGTAAAAAATTTGTACGTTCAAAAAAAAATGAAAAACCAATTAACTCTTCCGAATTCTGGAGTATATCCCCAAGTAATTAGCAATTACCAATTACGATTGTAATTACCAATTGTCTCGAGGAGATTAATCATCGACTCGTTAACCAACTTGTTCGAACGTTATAAATTTTATTACCAAAATTTGCTTCATCCTGTGATTTCAAAAAAAAAAGAACGAGTACCCGTATCCAAAGTTCAACACGTTTCCGATCGAATTAACTAACAGTTTTTCCTGGACTCGATCCTCAACCAAAATCCATTCTTGGCGGCCGGGTTGAACACACCCTCCTTGAACTTCAACGGAACCGTGGTCTTGCTCCCTACCCTGAAGCTGCACTCGGCCAGGATGTTGAACAGCAGTATCTTCATCTCCATCAACGCGAACCTGCTCCCTATGCACTTCCTGGGCCCCATACCGAACGGCATGTAAGCGCCCGAGCTGGCGATGCTCTTCCCGTCCCTCAGAAATCTCTCCGGCTCGAATCTCTCCGGATTCTCGAAATATTTCGGATCGTGGTGGATCGCTTTGACGGGGAACCAAACGTTCATCCCCTTCTCGACCTTGAAGGGGCGTGCGCCGGGCAGAGGGGGCGGCAATTCGAAAGTGTGGCCGCACACCCTGTCGATGAACAACAGGATCGGATGGTACCTCATCGCCTCGCTCATCACCGCGTCCAAATACCTCATCTCGTGTATAACGTCGTACCCCACCTTCCCCTTCTCCCCCCCATACTCCGACAAAACCTCGTCGATCTCGTCCTGCAGCCTCTGCTGGACATCGGGATTCACGGCCAGCATGTGAGCGGTCAGGCTTATCTGGCTCGCCATCGTGTCCACGCTTCCGAAGAAGAAGCTGAACGCGTGATTGGCTATGTTCGACACGCTCATACCTTTCCCGCTCTCCTTCCTCTCCTGCATGTCTATCAATTGTTGCAACATGTCCAACCCGTGCACCCCTTCCTTCTTCCTAGTTTCCACCGTCTCGACCACCAACCGATGGAAAAACCTCTCGATGTGGTCGGGCAGGATCTTCAGGTTGAACAACCTGGCCAACCTGGGCGAGTTCCTGTGCACGAATATTATCAAATTCTGCTTGAACGTGGCCAACTGGGACGCCACCTGGCCGTACTTGTAGAATATGTTCTCGGGCTCGTTCACAGAGTCGACCGACACCCCGTAAACGCATCTCGCGATCACGTCGTTCGTGTATCTGCTCAGCATGCTCTTCAACTCTATCTCCCGGTCCATCCTCGACAGATGATCGGCGAAACTCTTGGCGCAATCCGACATCAGCATGAACATGGACTTGATCTTGCTCGACGTGAACAAACTGGTCAGCATGGTCCTCTGCTCCCTCCACCGGTCGTCCTCCATCGCGAACAACACCTCGCCCAGCATAGGATCCACCCCCGGGTCCACGAACGGCCGGTGATTCGTGAAATTCGTGATCTCCTTGACCCCGATCGTTTTGATCAATTCCGGATCGCGGATTATTATCAACGGGGTGGTGAACTCGTACATTCCCACGTACTTGGCGTCCGGATCCAGGTCGTACACTCTCTGAATTATGTCCTCCATGTGGCACTGGCGGCGCACCAACGGGCCCAGATTACCCAGCAGCGGAGTTGGCGGGATGTGCGCGATCCCGTGCTTCTTGAACAGCTTGTGATTCTTCGTGGAGAGGTAGTAAAGGGCGACGAGTATCGCCAAAAAGGAGAGGCCGATTTGTAGATAGTCCATTGTTCCAGAGAGATGATCGATCGAGCTTGTTAAACGCGTGCGAATGTGCTTGATTCTTCCAGCGTGCGCTGAATATAATAATTCGTCGGTGCTTATATAAGAGATAAATGGTCACGTGTCGTGCTATATTGCGTCTTGTAATGCGTGAAACTTCTCGAGATACGAGATAATCTTTTTTCTCAGAATTATAATTGCAATCTTGCGCGAATAGAAATAATAGATACTGGAGTGTTATTTATTTATTTTTATTTTTTGCGTGAAAAAGAAAATTGATTTTTGTTATTTTATTTCTTTCTGTGTGACGATAATTTTAATTTATTCGAGAGAGAAATGAAACGAAGACGAGAATCTTTCGACGATTATCTTGGTTCAACAAGAGTTGAAAAAACGAGCGAGAAAACTTGAATTTTTTGGTGTCTTATTTTTTTTTTTTTTTTATTACTAAAGAACGTTCGAAAATATTAAAAACTCTTTTGCTCCTTTATTCTTTTTTTAATAGAAAAATTTCGTTTTCAAATACATCGCGGTTAAAATTCTGCAGCAATTATATAATAAATCCGAAACATCCGAATACAATACGAAGAAAATTTTGCTAATAATATTGCAAATATTTCGTATAATGAATGGCAATGAAACTTGCTTAAATTATATTTTTGATATCTGGACACGTATCGATTCTAAAGATAAGATACTTTTTGATCGAGAAAAATATTGTTGCACAATGTTGTAATATTGTATGCTATGGGCAATCGTAATTGCGCAATGTTACCACATATTTACACATCAAACAAATCATTTAAATTGATAATTAATCTTCGTTTATCATTAATCTTTTCCGAGCAAATTATCGTATTTTTAAAATGTTAGATTAATTTTAGCATATATGAATATTGAATATAAAAATTTTCAAAAAAAAAAAAAATAAATAAAAATAAAGACAAGATGCTTTGATAGTTACGATATAAAATTTCGAAAAATGTCGATTCAAATTTCGGATTCATTAAATTCGCATCGAAATCATTTCGCATAATTCCAATTTTAATTAGTGTTATCCGAATACAATGAAAACATTCGACTGATTCAGTTTCACAAATATATACAAATTTTCCACAAAGGTGGAACTTTTTTTTTTTTTTTTTTTAAATAATTACGATATAAAATTTCCAGAGTCGATTCAAATTTCAGATTCATTAAACTCGACAAGATCGTTTCATTGAATTTCGATTTTTTTTTTTTTTTTTCAATAAATTCCGCTATCCTCGACAGGTGTCGCTCCTTTACTCTTTTGTCCACGCTCGGCTAAAAATTTTTATCCTCGCGTCTTTTTTAATCTCTTCTTAATCCCTGGACCAACGATCGTTGAAAAGATGAATTCTTCTAAAACTTCCTCCATTTCTCCCCTGATAATTACAAATTTACCTTTCCTCCTTTCTTCACTTTTCTTCATTTTTAATCTTTCTTTCCGCTTTCTCATCCTCCTTCCTCCCCTCCCCCCTCTTTTTTTTTCTCTCTCCATACTCTCCCCTCCTTCTCGTTTCTTTACGTTTCGTCGAATTCCTCACGAACAACCATGAATACAAAAAGATTTTTAATATAGCAGTAAGGACGAATCGAAGGCTGCATTTCTTTCGACGTGAATGATCGCCTCAATTTCTGTTTGCATATTCAGGCGCGATCATTCGTGAAAAAAACGAATTCGACAACGAATATTAAGATTAGCCAGATATTCCATTGTGCGATTTATTAAAATTCCGCCGACGGTTTATCGACACGATCGACTCTCTCTAAGAGTCCACAAGAATCTCTAAGAATCTTCGAAAGAGAATTTTGATTCTAAGAGAAGACTTTCCACGAGGAACGAACGAATTACTCGAGGAAATGTCATTTATTTTCGTATCATTGTCGATTCGATTTAATATAGAGCCTTCTATTTTTCGGAGAATTGATCTTCATAGAGGAATATTAATGAAAAAATTGTGATTCGTAATTTTAAAAGTAATAGACGAAAATAAACAGCTATCGACGAATCGATGTGTTTTGTACTCGTCCACGATTAAATGTATGTAATTGCAATAACAATTTTAATGTAACTTGATTTTCGTAATGTTTTCCACGAATGTTGAAGAATTTCGAAGAAAAATTTTGATTCGTAAATGTTCGAAATTTTGCAAAATTTTGCAGGAAATTAAAGATTGTTTGTTGTCGGGAATTTCGAAAACTCTTGAATTAATCCGTGAAAAGGTATTTTTCAAAATTTTAGAACGAGGATAACGATATTGCAATCGCGAGAAAAAACAGACATTTCTTTTTCTCGTGTTGATTTAACCGCTATACAGCAACAAAATACATCGTTGTTCTTGAAATGTTGTTTTATTTCGTTGTTTGACTACCGAAAAATTTGCGAAACATCCGCGAGAAAATTTCTATCAGCTTTGTTTAAAACAATATTAGATTCGAAAACACGTTTCATCGCGTTTCATATTTTTTCTATCACTTTGATATTTATCTTCACCGCTCTTATAATTATCAATTATCGGATTATACTATATGTGATTATCGTTTTTATATCGTTGTATAGGTCGAAATAAAAATGTTGTTTTAAAAGATCAAACTATTTTTATTTATTATCAAAATGTCAAGAGCAACTAATTATCTTTTTATCTTTCCTAACGAGATACGATATAATACTCTGTTCTAATTAATTGTTTCGCAACAATATCGCGTTCTATTTTCCAAAACAATTTCGTGTAAATTGCATAAATATCATCGCAATAATTCGCAATAATTCGTATAGATGCAATTCTTAGGGATGCGAATACATTTGGAAATAAAATTCTTGAGAGTAACTCGCATGTTGAAAATAATTTTCAAAGAGAAAAGGACAATCCATGATATTTCAAGAAAACGTGCGTGATTCTCACTCTCGATCCAATGTCTGCTCGCGAAAAATAATTTTTGAGAACAATTTTGAGAGCATCGTAGAACCTATATTGAAAGTAATCTTCACTCTCAACGCAGTTTCTATTCACGAAAAATTACTTTTCAAAGCAATTCGTCGTGATATTCTAAATATTAAGTTTCTACTCATGAAAAATAACTTTTCAGAGCAATTCGTATTCTAGAAACTATATAGAGAATAATTGTTATTTTCAATCTATTAATTATTCGCGAAAAATAATTTTTCAGAGCAACTCGTATCCTAGAAACTATAACTAGAAAGTAATTTTCATTTTCAATCCATTATTTATTCGCGAAAAATAATTTTTCAGAGCAATTCGCAATTCCTAAAAAATTATATCGAAAGTAACTTTTACTCTCAATCCGTTATTTATTCGCGAAAAATAACATTTCAGGCCAATTCGCACCCTAGAAATTATATTAAAAGTAATTTTCACTTTCAGCGCAGTTTCTACTCACGAAAAATAACTTTTCAGACTTCAATTCGCGCTCTAGAAACTGCATAAAGAGTAATTTTCACTCTCAATCCAGCGTCTATTCGCACGAAAAATAACTTTTCCCAGCAATTTTCACCAGCCTAGAAACTGCATTGAGAATAATTCTCATTTTTCCAATCCGCGAAAAATAACAGTTGAGAGCGACTCCCGTTATACATACGAATATTTATCCAGATATAATTAAAAAAAAAAAAAAAGAAAAAAGAATACAAGGATGCATGCACGACATTTCCTCTCATTTTTACGTGGTGACAAATGCGGCTCTGCCACGTACACATCGCGAGAAAACGCGCGATATAGGAAGTGGTGTTGCGGCTTAACACGGTCGGCCACGCCAGTTTCACCGTCGAGGAGAAGGAAAGGAAAGGAAGGGAAGTCGCGTTATAAATAAAGCGGCACCAGCTGCTACACACTGATAAACCCGAAAGGGTAGCCATGCGCGAAACAAAGGTTAACTTTGACGACCGCTAACCCTATACAACCGTATATAGGTTCCCTATACAAGCGTGATAAAGCAGGTGGGGGGGGAGAGAAACGGAAACCGGATGTATCTTTCGATGCGTATTATAGACAAGCTTCCGTTCCACGAACGGCAAACCACTTTTCAGCTTTTCGCCTTTCCTTTCTTCTCTCCTCTTCTCTTCCCCTCCTTTTTTCCTCCCCCCTCTTCTCCCATCGAGTTCAATCAAAGCGCCCGCTATATAAAACGGACACATCTCACAATCACGTCTCGATTCTTGCGCAATCGCGCCGCCGCTGATATTACTCGACGAGAAATTTCACAAGTCGCCAACAAGTCGATCGAATACATACAAGTGTAATAAAATTTCGTATCATCGCAGGTCAACATCTCTACTCGGCCAAACTTGGACGGTGATAAATTCAACAACGAGGAAATCAAATTTTTAATAAGAAGAGAGAATCGTAATCGCGCATAAATTCTGATTATTCGATTAAAATCGTTCTACTTTCTTCTGGATTATTCCCAAAATTTTTTCCTCCATCGATATTTTTTTTTTTCCCTACTAAAATTCGCGACAATTCTCACGACATCTTCACCATTTCTCCCGGATAAATCAAACATTTCGCCGCAATCTTTCTCCTTCCCCGTTCAATCGAGAGAATCGCGGAATCACGATTTCCAAGTAATTATCGGATCGCGGGAATTTTTGCCGCAAATGAAACTAGGAGGACGAGGAGGAGGAGGAGGAGGAGGATTTTCGCGGGTGGGGGAAATTCGAGCGGGTGTGAAACGTTAAACTTTCGATTTATAACGTTTTCCAGCCAGACGCGTTAAATCCATCAAGTGCGCGTTTATCGGAAAATCAAGCAGTCATGTGCATCGGATGCATTGTTAGTGCATTAACTCGTACGTTCGAGTGGAAAATGGCATTACTTAGCCGCATTACCGCTGTATTATATTCGACGCCATCGTTCCTCTTTGATCATGGCCGCCGTGTGCTACCACGCTTTTTCCTTTTCCTTTCCTCGAAAATTCGCTTCCCTCCTACTTTCTAAATCGTCGAAATCTTCCTCGCCCTTCCAATTTTTTATCCATTCGACGGTGTTCAAGTTCGCAGGTTTCGTTCGAAAATTGGGATCTTTGGGATTTGAGTGAGTCGAATATATTACGAAAAACATAAGTGAGAAATATTTTTGAAAATTGATCCAGGAAAATTTGAAACTTTTGAGAAATTTAAGCGAATTAAATGATGAAGCTATTCCTTTTTTTTTTTTTTTAGCAAAGAATCACGAGTATTTACGAAATAAGAGATTTAAGAAAGAAAAGAAATCGAGCGAAGTGGTAAAGCAATCACCGTTTCCTTTAAGCGAAAAATTTTGAAGGCGATAAATTCAAATTTGTTTAATTTATTTCTAGTATTATATTTTATTCGTCAGTTTTAAATTTTCCAAACTTTATTTCTTTTCTTCTTCGCGTGACGATTGTAGAAATGACAATGGAGGAAAGGAGAGCGTAACAGTTGTAGAGTTGCGAGCGAAACATGGGGACAACAAATATGTCGATACAAGTGGAACGGTGGATTCATTATGAATGAAAAGTTCTCTTGTTACCACTTCGATGTTTCAACAAAAATTGGAATAGGAATTATGCTTACAAATGGCGAGAATCATATTTCGTTCAGATTCTACTTCTCGTCACCGGGGTATTTTCTCTCTCGTTACGAATGGCGGAACTATTGCCGAGCCAAGCTCGTATTTCCTTCTCTTCGTCTTTTGTTACTACCAAGCAACGCAATTTCTTGGTTCGTTTCGCGTTCAGGACAGTACGTGCTATCGTTTAATAAAAACAGATGGTGTCGCTTTCTTTTTTTTTCTCTCTTTTCTTCCAAAAATAAAATATAATTCGAGGGAATAACATTTCGTAAATTTCGCGAAATTTAATAACAGTTGTCGTATGTATCGAGTATCGGCCCAAATTCTGACCGATCACGATAAAACAAACTGCTGTTATTGTTGTAAAAAAAAAAAAAAAAAGGAAAAAACTCCATAAGAAAATCAAAATCCAGAGCAGAGCAGGAGTTCGCAAATTTCTACACACCAAACGAATACACTTATTTCCTACACTATTTAAAAGTTGATACAATATCGAGAGAAAAATTCGAAGAAAATCCAATTCAACTTCGCCCTAAAATAATTACCATACGAATACTAAACGCTACAAATTTCTTCATCCAAATACCTACACCTCTATCAACCTTAAAAAGTTAATACAAGAGCATAATCGAAAGAAAACTTGAAACGCAACAAAACTTCGCCCTAAAATAACTATCATACGAATACTAAACGCTACAAATTTCTTCATCCAAATACCTACACCTCTATCGATCTTAAAAAGTTAATGCAACAGCATAATCGAGAGAAAAATTCGAAGAAAATTCAAACGCAACAAAATTTCACCCTAAAATAACTATCATTTGAACTCACCGGACACACTACGAATTTCAACATCCATCGTCGTGTCAACGTCCGATTAACAAAAGAAAATTAAGAAAAGTGTAATACAACCGAGGGGAAAAAAAAAGAAATTGCAAGCAAGATTCGATAAGGGATGGAATGACGGAGTAAGAGAAAACGGGAGAAAAAAATCGATATATATTCGGCGTAGCGTGTAGGAACGCGGACGGAAACCACACACGACACACACGTATGGAGTAGCATCCGGAAACGTGGAAGACGAAAAAGAGACGTGTGTTGCACCCGTCTCTCTCTTTCTCCCCACCTCTCTCTCTCTCTCTCTCTCTCTCTCTCTCTCTCCTCCTCC